CACAACCTCTCAACCCCAATAACAGGTGCTTATGATCTTTGAATAGGTTAGCTAAAGCTAAGTTATGAATAACCTCTGACAGCAAGATACACTGTAAGATAAGTGGAAACTATCAAACTCAATCAATTTAAATTTTACAGCATTAATATTCTTAAGTAATTTCATCATTCACAGCAATTAAAATTATAGTAAAAATCTCACAAATCCATGAAAAATTAATCGGTCAGGGATTGCGATCTGATCAGGTGATCACACAGTGAAATCTCACAAAACAAACAATCCTGCAGAGCAGTGTTTCCCAAAGTGTGGTACACGTACCCCCAGGGGTACGGGAACAGTTTAGAGGGGGTACGCGTTCTTATGCAAAATATCTTGCAACAAACGAAAATTTCACAAATTTTTATTTTAAAACAAGGCTAGCCATGAAAATTTACGCTTACGTATTTTTCTATTGGCTATTTTTTGCAGAGTTAATAACCTCCGTGAAACTTTTTTATACTAAAAAATTCATTCATTTTTTTATTAGTGGTACTCAGCGTTACGACAAATTTAGAAAGGGTACATAAAAGTCATAAGTTTGGGAAACACTGCTGTAGATGAGACTCCTAACATTACAGACATTTTTTCTTTAAAACTACAGCAATCTTCTGTGAATAAACCATCATATACTCACTTTGAAAGGTGGATATTTTCTTCACAAGAAACAAATCCTTTAAAATAACTTCAAGACAGGCATTCTACATTTTTCTAAATTCATTTTTGTGTGCAACTTTTTAAACACTAATTTTACATGGGTTTGAGTATTTTTTTACTTACAAAAAATTAAAGTTTAGCAAGGGACAACTTTTCATGAAGAGGTGGGAAAAAGGGGGTAGCAAATCAAATATTTCGTTATGACTTTTGTCCAAATTTTGGTTGCATAATTATGCATATTGATCTTAGATATGAATAGAAAGCAAGTCGCTGATCTTGCATAAATCAGAGTATAATAACTGAGTAATTCATTAAACCTGATAGAAATATGCTTAGCAAAAAATTAAAGATTCTATTTTGTTTCTAGAAACTTTGCATCCTGGCATAAATATAAAGCCATATAATTTTTTTTATCAGTTAATAATGTACAGTAGGGAACCGATTATCCGGAACGATCGGGACCATTGCTATTCCGGATAACTGATTTTTCCGGTTTTCTGAATCGCTACAAAAAGCCGTTTTTTTGTTGTTAAACCCAACTAAAAAAACATTTTTTTTTGGAAATAATCTAAAAAAGAAGAAAAAATGATGAAGTAATACACTAATGATTATTTCCAAAATGATTCTAAGGTAAACATCTTTCGAAAAAGAAAGAAAAATACTAAATTCTTATGAGGAAAAAAAATTTATTTTTTAAAAAATGGTTGGAAAATTTATCGAATTTCGTTCCGGTTTTTTGGTTTTCCGGTTTTCTGATTTCCGGATAACGGGTTCTGTACTGTACCATCAATTAACCAATCATTTAATTAAAAGGTCATCAAAGACTGATTCTTTTTAACGAGATATTAGTTTAAAAAAACTTAGCTTTCAAAAAATTATGGAATTAAATGTGAAAAATGTACTAGATGTGAAACTTACTGATGTTGCATCAAGAAGAACTGACAAGTCAAAAACATTAAAAACAAACTTCTATTTAATCTTTGTTGCATTAATGTAAAATGTAGCATGAAAGGTAGGTAAGTGTGCATTGTATTTTTAAATAATTTTCTATGGATTTCTAATAATAAAGATTTTATTAAAGGTAAATAAATATTAATGCAATTTGTTATTTAAATTTATGTGTTTCTTAAACTATTATATTAATTTAGTTAAGACATTTAAATAGTTTTAAAGTTCTCAATCAGCACAACTTTGTTTAAAACGAACACTTCTCCTACTGTTACTATCATTTGGATGATTGTTCTTTTATATTCAGATGACGTTTATTACAAGAAGAGTCAACTGCAGATTAATATTTCGATAAAATAACTTTCATAGCTTGAAATAAAAAATTATTTTAATTTAATAAAAGCAATCAGAAAAAATTCTTATTTCTTCAAATTTGATTGTTGTTGTTGCAGTTCATGTACGTTGCACTAGAGCTGCACAATGGGCTACTGGCGACAGTCTGGGAAACATCCCGGATGATCCGAAGACATGCCATCGCAATTTTGATCCCCTGCAGAGGGGTGTGGCACCCCTGCTTCGGTAGCCCAATGACCTGCACGCGAAATTTTAAAATTAAAAGTATAAGAATCGTAAAATAATGTTGAAGTTTAAAATTAAAAATAATAAACTGAATTTAAAGTTTGAAGCCAAATTTCATATTCCACTAGCTTCTACATTAAAAAACATTCCAGAATAATAAAAAGAGTTTATCAGTGTCTCTCTTTTAACTCCAGAAAACTTTAAAGGAAGTCGAAGTTCAAACATTATCTTAAACACTATTATAAGTTTATTCTTACAGACCTTTATTTTTTTTATGAACCATTTTTTTCTCCCTGGAACTTTTTCTATATGAACATGTCAAAAATGTGCTCATAATAGAAATAACTTTTAGTGCTAGTACTTTTAAATGCATGTTTTTATTAAATTCAAGTTGAAATTTCACTATTGACAATGATTTTAATCAATTTTCAAATTTGGATACACTTTTAAGCCCAACATTTTAAAATAGCAAAATTGTTTTTTAATAAATGGTGGAAAATTTCTAGAAATTTACCAGTCATAAATGATTTTTATTTGTATTGACAATTTTTCAAAATATTTTCTTACTTCACCATATTTGGGATTATATTAACTTTATTGTGTTGCTGCATGCTTTAAAGTTTTGTGTATGATTTTATAAATTTTTTATTCTTATTCTTATTTTTTTTTTTTTTTTTTTTTTTTTTTTTNTTTTTTTTTTTTCTTTTCTTTTTTTTTTTTTTTTTTTTTTTTTTGTTAAACATGAGTTTTGATAGCGGGTAAGAGTATTGAGTGAGCGTGGTTATTTGTGACTGACAGCTCTGACTAATCTCCTATCTGTGGAGTTCATTTTGATGCTCACCAGAAAGCTTTGCCGATTATTCAGACAAGGCACTTGTCCCGTTAAGTGCTTTTTGTTTTCAGGAATCTTTTCAGGTTCCCATTCTACAGCCAGCAAAAAGCTTGCTGAAATACTGTGAGAATGGAAAGCCAGCGTTTGATCTAGTGTGGTCTACTTTGAATTAATCTAAGCTGAGTCAGGTCTCGATAACTTGGACAATGGATAGAACTTGGTTTCAATTGTGGATTAAACATATTGAAGGTACACGAGTTGTTTTGTGTTAAGGCGAAAGGAATTTTAAAATAATTTTACTGGCAATAGATTTGTTATTATTCAGTGTTCCTCTATGGCTCTGTATTATTAGACACTCATAAATATAATTCGTTACTTTCATAGAGTTGTCTTATTAAGCCATACAACCAGGATTTTATTTGTGTTTGTTTTAAAATATTATCTATACTGGAATGAAACTGTTCTTTATTATTTGAATAAGTAAACTCAATCTACAACTCAATTTCTTGGTGTTGGTTAGTACTGATAAATTAATTATTTACTTTTCTTTAGCTCTTACGAAGTACGGGTATTTAGTTAATAAGAAATAAATAATCAATAAATCAGTATTAACATTACAAATCTGAAAAGGCATATAGTGTCACAATTGCTAAAACTAAATAATCTAAATTTTATTTAGTATTACTCTTCCGGTTCACTTAACATTGTTAGATTTAGAAAAACATGTTTTCTCAAAACACTTACTTCATCAAAATAAAGTTTAGTCACAATTGGCACTGAAAATGATGTAAAAATAGTCAATTGGAGATAGTCAAACTTACTACAATAAGCGATTTTGGTCATTAATTTTTCTTTTAAGTAAATTACTTTATTTTTTTATTTCAATTGTTGAATTCGAATAATTGAGCTTTATAAAAACGCAATAAAAAATCTTAATTATAAACAAAATAAAAATATGGTATCAGATAACATAAGAAATTCTAATTTGATGACATACCCTTCACATGCCACCAACATTGATTCTCGAGCTCACCTAACACAACAGAGCAGTAAAACCCCAAACTTCACAGCTGTTATCTTGTAAATATAGCCAAACCTCATAAGCACAAAACTGCTAAATATGAAATATGGCTTTACGTGAAACACATATTTGATCCGGTGGTAAACAACCAATTCATATCGTCACACATTATTTCAGCTCCAAATAAAATGTATAAATTGTTGGTTTTTACAATATATTTTTCATCTGTTATATTTTGTTAAAAATTTAGTAAAATTGTAAAGATTATTTTGTATGATACATAATTGTATTATTTACATACATTTATGAAGTACATAATATGTATTGTCAGTAAGTAATAAAATGTTTTTATGATGCATCGGATAAGATAGAATTCAGTTATCAGTTCAGAAATAATTGTGATAGTTCCTCCAATTTTGTATTAACGAGGTTCGAATGTATTAATAAAAACAGAATTTATAACAATAGCTAATGTTCAACAAATGTGAAAAAAACTATTTTTCAAACATCCATACTGACCAGACTAATATAAATTAACAAACACACTTTTAGAATCAGGGCTAAATTTGTCTCATGCACCCACTGTCTGAATTTCAGAACCCTAGCACAATGGGTTCTGGAGTAATGAGAAAAAGACACACAGGCACACTCTTCCTTTTATCATTACAGATTAATATTGTTTTAAAAAACTATTTTTGTATTAGAGTTAATTATTTATAATATACATCCTATTTTTGCATTTTAAAGTAGAAATTAAAACTATCTCACAAAAATAAAACACATAATGTACCTGTTTTAACCTATATTTTAAACTTTAATTCTCAAGATCTTATGAAGCCAAAATGTGTAATTTAAACAAGCTAGACAAAAAAGCACTTTTTTTTTAAAGAAACAACTTAAATAACTAAAAATAAAAACTTAACTTACATAAGGATTTCCAACTGTTACGGCAACAGGCGGCTGAGGAGAAAGAATAATGTGTCTTAATGTACCATGTTCATCAACTATTTGCTGCACCATGTGTCCAGGAGGAACCTGCACGGGCATTGGCACTGGGGGAGTATTATTACTAGAGACCATTCGCACGGTAGCAGGTCCTATTAATATAAATTATTTTATCTATATTTAATTAAATATAACAAGTTCAAAATTTTAATCTAAAATTAGAAGCTCTAAACTATATTTTAGATACAAACACTTTAATGAGTAGGAAAAAAATGTCGGCAAGTTGTTTTATAGACTGGGTGTAGGAAAAAATTTTGGTAAGAATTTACCTAAATAGAGTTGAAAATTTAAGTTTAATTAAATTACTTTAAGGAACTTAAAACATATCATTTTATTGAATCAATAAAATAGGCAATAAAAAAGGCATATTTCAGCAATAAAAAAGGCATATCACTTAAAATATTTAAACTGAAATATACTGTTATCTAACTCCTGAGGCCTTTTTGTCTATATTCCAAAACAAGAATTTTTACAATAATTAAATGATTTAATTTCACATTATAAAAATAAGTTCATTATTTTATAAAATTTATTATAAAAATAAAATTTTTCAAAATAAAATTACAGAAATTTCAATTTTTATGTAGGTTATTTATAATCCAGAAATTGTATGGAAATAAATTACTGATATGCAGCAAGTTTCATTTATCAAAAGAAAGATTTTACAATTACGATACTCAGTAATTTAAGGAGTATTAACCATGTTTTCCTCCCAAAACCAAAGAAATTTAAATGCATAGTTTAATATAAAGTAAGCAACAAAAAAAAAAGGTCACAAATGGATAACTTAGTTGCATTTATTGGATTTTTAGACTTTAAAATCAATTCTTAATAGTTTAACGGACATAAAATTCCTCCAGCCTCAAATATGCCAATTAATTAGTGATAATTATAAATTAAATTGTATAATCAGACACAAAAACCTCTGGATAGACGTAACTTTTTTTCCAACAGATTCAGTTTCACCGATCACTATCAAACCACTATCACACCGATCAGTAGTATTCACTATCAAAGTAGGTATTTAGCTGCATTTTGGATAAAAATCATCCCACTAGCATACTTTAGGTGTTTAAATTTTACACCTCATAACATTTCACTTTTTAGCATATTTTGTGTACAAATAGAATAAAATTTTTTAACTTTTGATACAAGGGGATACTTTTATATTGTGATCTGTCGCAGCAACTACAATCACCAAATAGATATTAAATATTGCAAATTTAAAAAAAAAATTTCCAGTGGTTTGACTGAGGGTGGCTGAGAGTTATACTCTTTGAGTTGGTTTCTTTCTGTGATTTATTTTATCCTTTCTTGCCAGACACTGCTCTGAAATTGTCAAAACTTAACAATTATTTTGGAGTAGAATCAAGATATGGAAATCTCCCATAATACGAACCTTTAAATTTTTCAAAAAAATTTTTATCACTTTGATTTTTTATATATATATATATATATATATATAAAATTGAAGTAGAGCCCATGGCAATGGCTTTATTTATTTCCCCCTAGCCAAAACTCGAAATAGGATTTTTACATCCACACATCAAAATATCCTATAAGTACTTTAATAGAATATTTTAAAAAAATTATGCCCTTTAACTTTGAGGCAATTAATTACATTTATTTGAAAATAATTAAAAAATAATACACATGTTATATTTTAAAATTACAACCAAACATTTAAACAAATTTAAAAAAATAATAGCTACCTTGAATAAGTTGAACATGGTCTCCCATATCAAAAGAAATAGTTTCTCCAGGATTTACATGTAGATGCACAACATATTGCGAATTTCTATTATAATTCATTGAATTAGGACTGCCATTGTGAGGTATCTGAGGACATGATGATGTACTTGGCAAATTAGGAAATATATTGTTGCATGAAATTTGGTCACTGCCAAGTTTTGATACATGAGGTTGAAATCCTCTAACATTTCCACCGCAAGCTCTCAAATTGTTATTATATTTATTACATTCAAACCAAATTTGGCTGTCACTTGTGACGGTCCATGTTTCAGGAGTAAATGGTAAGGAGTTGCCAAGAACGTTGATACGTGGCTCATTATTTAAATGTTTGACACCGTTCACGCGTTTATCATCAAAAGCCTGGAAGTTAGAGTTTTGTCTCGATGAATTTTCATTTAGAGTATCGACACTGCTGGAAGACGTTTTACTACTAGATGCTTCACCCTTTTCCACCGTTTTCTTTTCACAGGAAGATTCTGATTTATTTTCCTCTTTTGGGGCAGAAATAATCTCATCACACTTTGTTTCTTCACAACTGCCTGAAACAGAGTCTTGCTCCTTATTATCCAAGTTTAAAGTGCCAGCAGAGATGTCAGTAGAGCTTGCCATCACTAAAATAGTCTATTGCCATAGGAATAAATCCTTCTGAGGAATTTCTAAAAAAAATAATAAATATTACACGTGAATTTGTTTCAATACAAATCGGAAAAAAAAACTTTAATGAAAATAATAATCACACTTTAGTTTTAATTATAATAAAATCCCCATGACAATGCAAAATTATTTCTATTGAATTTGTAAAATTAACCAAATCTCTCATAGTAACAATTTGAGTTAGTACTCAAAATTAGACTCCAGAACCTAAATAAGAAGCTTCATACCCGCTTAATCTAAGCTAAGTCACAGTTTAAGCAAAATTTAAGCAAGTATTTTCTGTTACGTTTATAATATTAAATAAGGAGTTTCAAAACTACCCCCCTATGAAAATGAAACAGATGAAGTTGAGATTACTACAATTCTGCCTAACTACAATTCTGATTCCATGACTATGACTTCATAGCCCTACTTTAACATCAAATTTAATATTTCTGAAAAACGGGTGAGATAAGGCAGCTTAAAAAAAAAAATTTTTAAAAAAACAGAAATATTCAATCGATTGTTTCTTTAAAAAATTTACAATTGCAATTTTTTAAGTACATTCTTCTTACGTTAAAATTTACTGTTTTTTTTTTAAAAAAATACAGTCACACTTAATTTTTATATATTATTTTTAATGGGTCCACTTTAAATTTGAAAAATCCATTTAATATGAATTGGCATTATGCCCGGTTAGCTCGAATACAAAAATCACAAGTAAGCGAATATTTAAAAGTTGAAAAATACTATCTAAAAATTTAAGAAACAGTAACCTATCATATTTCTGTGAATAGAAAGTAAAAAATATTTTTTTTTTTTTGATAAATAAATGCAAGCATACAAAACAAAATTGAAAAAATAAAAAAAATTAGCAAAATCTAATAATGAATAGATTACAAAGTCAAAATGACAATATTTACTACATATGATTTAAGTAAAAGCCTATTTTTGCTTACAAAAGGTTCCAATAGATCTTAGTTAGGAATTTAGAAAATTATCACCATTATGCTTAATCTCATCACAAACAAACTAAATCACTCGCTTTTGCATTATTGTAGATTGTTGAATACATTTTTAAAAATTTAGCATGATGATATTTTGATTAATAAACATAATTGAATTTTAATATTAAATCATCACATAATAAACTTAATATATTATAATTAACATTGCATTTATCAATAAAAATAAACGGTAATTTAATTCTACATTTGATAATCCATTATTTTTTTAAATGTTATGCTCATTTTTTCAATTAAATTTGTGGCTAAATTTCAAGTAGATTTAATTATTAATTTTGCACTAGAGCTACAGTAATGGGCAATAAACAATGGACTGGATTCATCCTCAAAACTGGATTGATGTTCTGCAAACAATGCTGGCACATAAGGGCATTACACTAATACAATTTATATCTGACAGTAAATGGTGCAATCATCTCTTCTTTATCCCACACTCCAAATGTACTTAAAATTCAAAATTCTCACTTAAAATTTTAAGAATGGCTTTTCATAAAATTGGTATAAGCCCGAGATTATCAGAAGAGGCACTTGCCCAGGGCTACATAATTTTAATATCTAAAAAATTAGAATTTCATACTTTATTCAATGGCAAACCCAGCCTATTCATTTATCTTTTACAGAAGCTTAATTTATATCCAAAATGAGATATTGAATTAATAATATTTAAGTGGCAAAGTGTACCTTTATTTTCTTAAAAATTAGCTACCATTAGTTATATTTCTAATCATTCTTGTCCTTATGTTAAGTATGGTTCCATATTATATGCATCCTATGCATTGAAGCAAAGCACAGATTAGATTCTTAATCATTGGAGACTTATTAGAGAAATTTAGAATCAGATGATGCAGCCTCAAAGCATGCACGCTTATAGTACAATCTGTACTGTGCATACTAGTGTAGTTGCATGAAATTTTTATTGAAATAAAAACAAAAGAAAATTTTAAGTCAGTGAAAATGTTATGGCCTCCTAATTAACATTTCGCCAAGGGTCCCAAATTCTTTTAAACGGGTCCTAGATATCATTTTCTAATAGGAAAAAATTGATTTTTTTAAAAAGATTATGAATTAGAAGCAACTATAATACCGACTTAGGCACACATTGAAAATAAAAAGAGTAAAACGTGAATATCATTTCAATTTATATAAATAAAAGATAACTTTCACAAATTAAGTTAAATATTTTTAAAAAAACTAAAAATTTAATTAACAAGTTAAAATTAATTAAAAATTGTGTCAAACAGTCAAGCACAAAATTAGTTTATCTTATACATTTAAAAAAATTAATTTTCTCAAATTACTTTCTTCTAATTTTTATAGATATGACATCTATCAATATATAAATACGCTATATCATTTTAATTCTAACATTTGAATCAATATTATAGCATAATAACTGAAGGTTCTTTTTTCAGAGAAGCTAATCTAATTTAGTTACTCTTGCACACATAAAATATTTCTATACAAATTTTTGAATCTCAAAATGTAATATATAAAAAAGCTTTTCATTATTTATACAACATAGATTAAAATGTAAATAAAATAAATTATGGTTACAGAAGGTGTAACATAAAACATTAAAATAATATACTATAAGAAACCTTTTGGACACTATAATACAGTGAGTAGTTGTTGATAGATGGTTTACTTGTTATAAAAAATTGACTTATTTCTTATTGACGAAAATACAACGAAACTAATGAATCAAGTAAACATAATATCTATTACCAAATTTGTACACGAAAATTACAATAAATTTATTTCTAAAAGAGAATGTCACACTTCAAATGAATTTAAAACTTTAACAACAAATAAAATAAAAATCGAGCTAAAAAATAAACTACCAGATTTAAAATTTGAAGTTTATTTAAGGCTATCAAACAATGGTAAACTTTATGCGGAATAATATTATACGAGAATTAACTGAATTTTAGAAGAATAACTTGGTTTCTCTTTCACGTATCATTCAACAGCTGGAACTGAAATTCCACCGTATCTGTCACATATGTCTTCCTTTATTTTTCACAAACAAAACTTTTTAAAAGAATGACACGATTCACAAAGTAGTTCTCAAGAAATAGATATTTATCCATCAGAAATGATAAAATCCCATCAGCAATAATTTTTAAAAAAAATTTAGTACGTGTCACTTAAGAAGCAAGACCTGTCAGATCACTTGCCTGTATCAAAATGTCAATTTTCATTTTATAAACTCGGCACTCATTTACAACTTTAAAGGCGGATAAGCGACTGACGCATTTAAATATAAGATGTTACAATTCATGTACCCAATTACTGGTTAATAAAGGGTAACTTTTTATTAAACAAAAATTTAATTGCTGCACTAGGACCTGTCAACTTCTGCTAATGTTGACGTACTAGCAATCACATTTCCTTCAGGACAAATAGAATCGATATTTTTTAGCAGACACATATATCGATATTTTATGATACTGAAAGTAAAATAATCTTTGTATGAAAATCCTTATCAAACAAAACTTTATAAATTCAATCTTATATTTATATGAAGTGATGTTTGAAGAGTCAAAAACGATGAAATAAGGATTATGCACTTTCAATTAAATATTCTTATATTACAGCTTTAAGTTTGGCATCGATAAAATAAAACTTGAGTGAAGTGAAATCGCATTATTTATTTTGATTTTGAAAGCATCGGGGGTAGTGTATAGAGACAGGATGTATGTGGTCGCATAGGAAACATGATCTCTTTCAGAGCATGTTTTCAAGCATGCGCACATTGCATGGCAGTACTATCTGCCATGTAATTTTCTGACTAGGAAGAGGTGTTATTAAATTTTTGATAGTAAACTGCGCACGCTTGAAATATGCTTTGAAGTGAATCTTGTTCCCTATGGGAACACATACATCTTGTCCCTATACACTTCATTGATCGAACGTGCTTTCTAACTTGAAAGGCGCTAAGTCTAATTATCTGATTCCTGTAACATTTATTGAAATTTAATTATTATGCCACCGAAAGGTAAAGGGAAAAATCAAAATAAAAGTAATGCTGGAGCAGAATCTAAAGAGGCTGGTGCTTCAAAACAGACTAAAGGGGGCACTTCTGTTAAGGTGCTGTAATATTAAATAAATAAAGCTAGTGTTTTTGACATTATAACTTACATCTTATTTATTATTATGATTATTGAAAGTAGGGTTGAAATAAATGAATACATTGATCTTAATGACATGATATATTTTCATATGGTAATGGCAATTTATGAAAGTGTTGACTAATGTTTATTTTGTTAGTCACTTTTTCCATCAAAAATTAACATATAAATATAAAGAATTAGTGAATATTCAACTAGTTTTCTATTTGTTGATGCTACATCATGCAAAAACGCATTTTCTTCATATACCTAAAGCCTACTTACATTAAAAAGTAAGTATTGCTATATTCTAAAAAAATTCACATATTGCTCTCATAACTACTAATTATTTATTTTAGGTAAGACATATTTTATGTGAAAAACAGTCCAAGGTCCTTGAGGCAATGGAGAAATTAAAATCTGGTATAAAATTTAACGAAGTAGCTACTCAATATAGTGAGGATAAAGCAAGACAAGGTGTAAGTTTGCATTTATTTTAAATCTCAGGCATTTGTTTGAATTACTAATTTTTTTTTAAAATTGAAGTGGATAGAATTGTTTATAATTATTTTATAGTATATTAAGCCTAGAAAAAAGTCAAAGAAAGCTTTTATGTAAGCTTTTAAAAGTTGAAGAGAATTAACTTTTTAGTACTAAAAACACAGTTACACATAAAATTTTGAAGGAAAAAAATTCTACTTGTTTATTTGATTTAAATTTTCTTTGTTTTAATCCTTAATTTATTTTAAAAGAAATGGGTATACTTTGAAATTTATAGTCCTGTAGTATATAGCTTTATTTATTAATATTTTTTTTATTTCTAGATTGTTTCAATTTTACAAATTTTTCCTGAATAATATTTGAAAAGTTATGTTTAGAAATAATGTTTAATTGTTTAATTTTTTTTTAAGCTAAAACTTTTTAGTTTTCTTTTCAACAGAAATTTACATGTAAAATTTGAATCATGCATTTAGGTAATCACGTTTTGGCATGCTCAATTCATGCTGATACTATCGTGAATTGATAAAGTGTTTCGATTTTATTTTTGACAGTTAATGATTTTCACATGTTTTTTAAATATCTCTATATATTTCAAACAATATGAAAAATTCAAATCGTGCATTTAAATATTTACCTTTTAAAGCAGTGATTCTATCGATTTTTTGGCTGCCATTGCTATTGATTTCTCCGTAGTTTTGAAATCGGATATTATTTATTACAACAACCTAATCTTGAAAAGAAACACTCATTTGAGTAACCCCTTTTTTAGGAGTCCGATTCTCACGTTTTCGTTGTCGATCTTTTTTCAGCAATTACTACTACGGATTTCATGATTTTAAATTATTTTTTTTATTGTGATTATCATTTATAAAGTGTGAAGAAGGAAATAATTAGCCGGTTTCTCCCACCCTCCTCCAACTAAATGTGAAAATATCACCCGTAGTATTGTAATAAAAAATGATTACATGTTTAATTAAAAATTTTGTAAACACTGCACTTTTGTTATTTTAAATTAGTAGCTTATATGTTTGTTATTATTAAAGTATCTTGCAGAAAGATATTAGTGCTAGAAGTTTTGTCGCTGATAGCTCAAAAAATTCTGCCACATAGCTTTGCTGAAAGGTTCTTGAAACATAACTGAGGTTTTTTTATTATGATTTTTGTTGGAAAACAATCTAAATAGATATATTTTTATGTTAAATTCTTATGTTGTCCTGATGATAACTCTGTGTCTCTATATTTTTAAAATAAAATTATCATATATCATTATTTTTTAGCCTTTTTTAATTAAATCATCAATATACTAACATTTGGTTATCCATTTGTCAATGTTTTAAATTAAGAACACCACAAAGGATCGTGTGTTGTCATAAGACTTTCTCTATTGCAATGATTATATATTAATTGATATAGGGAAGATACATATATTCCTTTCAAGATATTAAGCAGACACTCTAAAAATTAGTTCATAAGACTTTCTCTATTGCAATGATTATATATTAATTGATATAGGAAAGATACATATATTCCTTTCAAGATATTAAGCAGACACTCTAAAAATGCCAGATTGTCTCATTTAAATAATGTTCCAGATAAACTGTATTGTTACTTTTTGTTATTAATTGTTTATTTTTACTTGTTGTATTAACTGTATTGTTACTTTTCTTTTGACTGAGTACTGGTTCTTGATAGTTTTTTTCTCTACCGATTATTGTGCAACTTGAAAAAGCAGTTAATTTTAATGACTTCTTAAAAAACATTTTGTTTTTTTTCTAGGGCGATCTTGGGTGGATGATTAGAGGAAGCATGGTTGGTCCATTTCAAGATGCAGCTTTTGCACTTCCTATTAGCAATTTACAAAATCCTGTATATACTGATCCCCCAATCAAAACCAAATTTGGATATCATATCATAATGATCGAAGGCAAAAAATAACTGTTTTATTCTTGTATATATGATTAAAAAAAAATTTTATTTAATTTTCTTGTTTTCTATTGTACATGTTTCGTTTATGTTAAACAATCTATGTCATAATTTAAGTATTACATAATTTATATTTGTAAATAATCCATATCATTAATCTTTTACTATGAACACATATTCATAAAGTGAATATATAGTTGAACCTCGCAAATAAGAAATTCCAGAACCAATATTATTTCTCAAAAATTATAAATGAAGGAAATTTGTGTAAAAATATTTATAAAATTGATTTGATTATCCAATTGATGAATAATGCGATAAGAAAGCAAAATAATGTGAAATCTGGTGTTAAAATAAATATGCATAATTTCCAGGAGTACTGAGTTGTTCAAGTGTTTAATTCAAAGACAAAAATAGCATTCAAATGTGCGGTTCATAATTCATGTTAATATGAATTGTGATAAAGCATTATTAAAGTTATAATAAACTTGTGTGTTTTTATTTTGTTTATTATGTAAACATAGGCAATACAATGTTAGAAAGTGATCACCTGATAGCAAGATTTGCTTGAAAGAAATTTATGCATTATGGTTTAAGATACAAAAATATTAAAAGCCTTATAATTATATTAGTCGTATTAAAAAATACAGATTTGTGTTCAGGATATCCCAATTTCTACTAATTGCAGATCTTAAAATAATAGATTTTAAAAATCAGAAAATTTAGGTTTTGGATATATTTATTATCTAATATATTTTGCTTATTTTGTATACATTTATTCTTTAATATGTAGATTATATAAGCTTTAACTTCGAAGTGATTTATCATTTTAAAAATATCTATAATTATAAAAAAAAAGTTTTAAACTTATTCCGATTTATTTTTATATTGAGGATTCTATTTCCAAAGTCAAGAAAATTCAGTCATGAGAAATTTCAGGCTCACGGTATTTATGTGCCTTTACTTGTGCTAACCTTTAATTTTAAATGTTATTTTAAAAAATGTTTACAAAGCAAAGTTATTTATGTTTGCTAATACATCTTAATATAATCATAAGAGAAATGTTTGAATATGGAGGCACCAGTGTAAGCAAACAAGAATTTTTATAGTACATATATTTTAATTGAAGAATTTTATTGAAAAAGCTGCTTTATGTGCATGTGCCCTAGAAACAATAATTATTATGAAGCAATTCTTAGTGTATATGAGTAGCAGTGAACAGGGATATTAGCTCTCCCTACTTTTAAACAAAATCATTTTTTCAACAGTTGAATAATTTTGTATTAGTGAATAAGTTTCAGAATTTAGTTATGTTAAAAATATTAAACCATATATGTTTATTAATTTTTTATTTTTTTTTACATTGAATTTATTTTCATGCATTGAATATAGTTCGTTTAGTTCGCAATGCATCCGCTGCAAGATTCCCTATAGATTTGCTACTTGGGTAGGGGTGCTGCCATGATGGCGTTGTTGCATCTGCTGAGGAACTTTCAGAATTTGGAATTATAGGTACTACAGCATTCAGTTCTCTCAATCGTTTGAATCGCAGGGACATTGTTACTGCTGCAACGATTGCACAGATCTAAAAAGAAACAAAGAAGTTAAGACACTTTAGTTTGAATGGAGTTTTCTCTACGGTGTTTTGAGTAAACCTGACGCATTATATTCACATTTTAACATTGTGTATAAATTTGTTGTCTAAGTTAAAATTATCATTTAAGCATTATGTCATTATAAAATCTACCGTACCTAGCTTCGGTATGTTCGAGTTGCTTTTGTTCACATGGAGATTACTATTTACAAAAACACTTATATCAAATGATTCATCTTGTTGCCTTATGTGACATTAGGGGGATATAGGCAATGACCCTCTCAAGAACTGCCCCACTTTTTTTTTCAGTTTTTAATGAAAATTTGGAAGATGCTAGTTTTTATTCTGACTTTTATGGTTCCTCATCTTTTCACTGAGCTGCTTATTGACTAATAGCAGCGATGACACAGGCGAGCGTAGCATTAAAAAAAAAACTATTTTTCTTATTTTTTTAAAAGACACATACGTTAAAATTGAATTTTAAATTCTTGATGATTGTAGATATGTTTCTTTGGTTCAATATAATGGATATAAAGTTATCTTAAATTCAATATAGTTTACTAAGATTAAGGTCAGCATAAATCAAGAATGTTTATTCCTGTATGTTTACAGGGGTAGGCGAGCTGGTCCACCATGCATGGTCCTCAAAAATTCCAAACTGATAAATAGGTTTATGACAAGTTTTTCTTTACATTTGCTAATTCTTGGATATATAATTCATACGAGTTATTATAATTTATATTTCCAAATGTGAATTTTTCTTTTCAGTTAATGTTCCTTTATATCAGGAGTGTAATTTTTAAAATAACATGGAATTTTTTGTTAACTTTTATGTCATATAAATTGATTGTATTAAAAATTTAAACTGTTGCCAATTTATGAAATGTGTATTCAGGGCAATTCCTAAGAACTGCTGCTGAAAATATCAAGAAAAATAAGAAGCAGGGTTGGAATGATTTAAAAATATTTAATTTAAAAAAATCATTGATTTGAATCAGATGATTTTTTTTTTAAATCACAGATTTATCCTAAAAATATTATTTATACAGTACTCCATTAACTTATATATTATACTTAAGGCTGTGATAATAAACCATTGATATGAAATCTCATTGATAATAAATGTTTTATTCATGGAATGAAGAATTAAGTTAATAAATTAAAGAAACAAAATTACTTTTTCTTTTCTTCAAGAGCTTAAATGAGATAAAAATTTAACTTTTAAATTATAATTTTTCATTTCATATCATTTTTATAGTTTAATGTGCTCATTGTAGTATGTAATATAATTTACTGTTTTATTATCAATAAATATATTTCAATATAAGTAATTTGAAACTTATCTACTTGTAAATAAAGATTTGTTCTGTTAAGGATAATTTATTTTTGAAAATGTTTTCTAATCTAAATTAGTTTACTTTTCATTCAACAAATTGATTCTTCATCTTTGCAATTTATTAATATTTTTAGTTAGATAAAAAAATAATAAACTGACTTCATTTATTCAGTAATTAGTTACAATAATTAAATAATAATATTAACCTTCTCTTTTTTTAGTATTAAGAATTTCAGTTGCAACATTGTTAAATAATATCAAATATTATTTATACATTTTGTCAGATCATTAAACGCGAAAGCAATTTTTTTTTAAAAAATCCAATGTTTAATGTATACATTCTTAAACAAAACATGATTTTTATTAAGCATGATTAAATACCTGTTGCGCCTAGGGCCACTAAAACTCTTAAGCACGCCTTTGGATATTTATACTGATTTAAATTTTGGTATAATATAATTTAAGCCTCCTTCCTATTTCTCAATTGTGATTTGTCTGATTTTTTTTTTTTTGTGTTTAAACTTTTTTTTTACTTAAATATCGTTTTACAACATGTAAAATTTACATTTTCTACTTTAATTTTGATAAGGATTCTAAAAAACATGTGAAGAACACTAATTACAGAACACTCTGTAAAACTTTTATATTTTTGACCATATCAAAGTCAGAAGAACATTTGTGATTGCAGAAAAAAAAGGAAAAAAATCAGATGTCAAAACCAAACAAATCATTGAGGAAACATTTAAAAACATATACATTTTACGACAGTAAAATTCACAAATTAATATATTTCAATAATTTAATTTGCATACAAGTTTTAATTCTACTTCGAAACATCTTCAGTGCAAAATACCAACAACAAAAAAGAAGGCGAGGAAAATTTATATTGATTAGCAAATTTTAACGTTACCTTTATAAGGACATATTTGATTACTGAAAGAAAAAACGTTTTAAACTTTTATCAGACAATCAAACTGATTTGATATATTCAATCTTGCCTTTCAGAATAAGGATTTTTGTTTTGTTTTTTCCTTGTTTAAATATTATTCCACAAACATTAATGTTAATTGTTTTTGACAAGGATTCTAAAACACGGGTCAGGGAATTTTATTTTGACTCTAAAAAGCAACAAAAGTTTTTTTTTTTTTTTTTTTTTTTTTTTTTTTTACAAAAAACCTTGAAAATTCTTACATTATACCTGGAAAATAAACAGTCTTAGAATTGTCAGTAACAGTAATAAATTGTTGAGATTCGATTTGAATAATTCTAACATCTATTACAATTATTTGTCATAAAAATTCCACATTTTAGTGAAACTTATCCTTGTTTCCATCTTCATTCAATAATATTTTTTGCACAAAAAATCTAATATTCAACGTTGAAAATAAAAATTGCATTATATATGTTACCGGCAAAGTATGAAACGCCGGCATCATATAAAATACCTGACGTTTTTATGGAAAGTATGAAATATGAGAAGTATTACATGCCGTATATTCCGGCGTATAACGCGCACTTTTAATACAAAAAATAACATTAGAATTTACGAGTGCGCGGTATACGCCGAATATAAAAAAATTATAGATTAAAAAAATTTAAATATAGAAAAATACTTTTCTTTTAAAGAAATAACATTCCTTTACCAATATACTTTATTGATTTTCGCTATTACATAAATAGTTCATTATCTCAGAATCACATTATTACTCTTGCAACTGTACCCTCACATACATGACAAATTCAATTCTTTTATTTTTCAAAAGATAGGGGAAAAACTTTTTATTTACGATCTTGAAAGACGAGATATTGCAAATGTACAATCCAAATTTTCGTGCGCGTTATACGAAGAGTATATCTTAAAATTTAAAAAAAGTATTATAAATTACGGGTGAGCGTTATGCGCCGAAATAAACGGTACTTTCCCTAGGCATTGTATATTATGCCTAGGGCAAAGTATGAAATAAACGTCCTGATGAGATTATTATGTAAATGATGTGCATGTTACTGGGAATGATCGAAATCGGTGGTTGTTGACTTTCACCGGTGAATGTTGACAAATGACAATCACATAGTTGCTTGGTGAATGCCCGAAATATTTATTACATCCTATTTGATATGAATTTATTTGTGTATATAATTACATTCATTCGATATTTTAATACTTTCTGACGATAGATTAGAAGAAACATCAGTGTTTGGAGTATCGGGCAAATGTACACCGGGCAGTGGCACTTGACCTTAAAAAAACATAAGTGTAGGGTATACCGGGCAATGGCACTTGACCTTAAAAAAACATCAGTGTAAGGTATACCGGGGAAAAGGCACTTAACTAGACCTTTGGTAAATGTTCGAAATATATATACTAGATCTAGTTAAGTGCCATTGTATACCCTACACTGATGTTTTTCTTAAGGTCAAGTGCCATATTGCCCGGTATACCCTACACTAATGCTTTTTTAAGGTCAAGTGCCATTGTTCGGCATATCCTACGCTGATGTTTCTTTAAGGTTCAATGCCACTGCCCATGTATACCCTACACCAGTGCCGTAACTTCACCCCTCGGGGCCCTGGGGCAAACATTTTTGGCAGAGGCCCGTTCAAAAACTTTCAGTACTCCATCTCTAATCGTCATTTTAGCTATTTATGTATTATGTTAGCGAATATGTTTATGAAAACAAGTTATTTGTTCGCATATAAATAGGATAACAAAACATTGTAAGTTTTCCACATGGCAAAATACAAAATTTCAGCGAAATCGATTAATCCTGAGAAATTAAATTTTAAAAAAGTCGTACTTATAAAACTCAATTTCTCAGGAACTAATCAACCAATTTCGCTCAAATTTTGTATTTTCCATGTGGAATTAGATACTTTAAAATGATTAAAAAAAAATATATGCCTTGCGATTCAAAAGTTTTCAGACTATTATTGTCCCGCAGTGAACTGATCGTTAAGACACGGTTCCCAGCAGATCACCGAAGTCAAGCCTCACTGGCTGCTGTCAGTGTGCGGGTGTGTGACCACTTGGATCAGTCTGCGTAGGGACCGAGGGTGTGCGGTATTGGTCCTCGTTAAACTGTTCTAACATAAAATGCTCGAATTCACGTGCAGGTCGCCAGGCTACCGAAGCGGGGGTGCCATCCCCTCTGCAGAGGATCAAACCTCAAGGGATGTTCCCCAGACCGTCGCCAATAGCTTATTGTGTAGCACTAGTACAACGTAAATGATCAACAACATCAGACTATTATTAAATAAAAAATACTAAATATTTACTAAAAGTTATTTTTTGCATGGCTCTTATCTAAAGATAACTCCATTCAAAAATTAGATAAAAGAATTTTATAATAGTGTGCAAAAATTTTTCAATTCCCTTAACATTTGGGGGTCCAAACTTTGGGTAGCTCACCCGACCCAACTATTGGGACCATATTTCCCAGATTACAGCAACCTGTATTACGGGGGTTAGAAAATCGAATCTGTTGAACAAAAGTTATGTTTATTCAGGGAAAGTATGTTTTTGTGTCTGATTGCGTAACTTAAAATAAAATATCGTGCACTAATTAATTTGTATATTTGAAGTCACACCCTCGAATTATTAAGATGGAGTCCTAGAACGTGAAGATCCGATCATCAAATTAAAAGTTATTCAGGATGG